AGCTGCACCCCAGGGTTGGATGCTCCCTTTTTTTTTAGCATCTCAAATCCTAATGTGGGTCAAACTCCCAGTGCCTTCCCCACAGAGATCTAGCTCCCTCCTCATCTGTCCTATTTCTGTCAGTGATTTCAGTTTCATAATGAGCCCAGGATAGAAGGCTCCAAATCACGTAAACTAGAATGTGCTTTTAATTTTTAAATTATCATTGACAGAATTTCTCTTAGGGGAAGTTTTTAGTGTTTGAAAGTTTGGAATCATAAAGAGATGAATCCCTTTTGCTTTCAATCTGCTGGTTCCCTAGTCTGTTCCTCTGTGATGTGGCCTTAATTCCTTGTAAGAAATAAAAGCTTCAGAGATTTCTGGGAAGCTTGGGAACTGACAGTAGAATTAAATCAGGAAGGATGCTAGCCCTGGTGATCTCTTCAAAAGGGCAGCTTTTGAAGAAGGACTCATCAGAAGCCCACCTTCTAGAGGCCAAAATGCTGAAGGGGTAGTTGGAGGCAGGAGATACTAAAGGCATGAGTCAGTTTGGCAGGACAAAGAAGGAAAGATTAATTTTCAAAAGTTGTAACAGGATCAGTTAAGAGGGATTTGTTTTGGACAGGGAACCATTGAAAGCAGAAGAAGTAATGAATTTCTGGGTGGGGGAGGGGATTTCAGTAAGAATACAGAAATAAAGTTTAAAAGGAAAGAAGAAGGTAATCTGGGGACTAGACGAAGTGGTTAGCTTTGAACATGAGAGAAATCTTTTTCTTTAGCCTAGAGGAAAGAATATGGAGGTTATCAGATGGCCTTGAGATCGCACATGAGAGGGAGGGAGGACCAGGCATCTTAGAAGTGAGAAAGCTAGAGAATGCTAAGACAGTATTGGACAAATGATCGTATCATCAACCATCCTGATAGAATGTTCTTTCTCCTTGTCCACTACTCTGCAGTCAGGTTCAGTGGGATAAGGCTAAAGTAAAAATGGCCTCAGCATGTGAAGTTGATTATCTTTGCTTTCGTGCAAATTGTCCTGTGTAATAGAAGCTACTCTAGTTCCAAGGAGATTTGACACCACATATGGATGGTCTTGTGTTTCTTAGATGCTACGAGTCCATTTTGGCCAGTAGATGAGGCTCAGTTCTTTCTTATTTTGTGCTAGTGCCTTCTGCCTCCATGCATAACCCCAGTGGCAGTGGCAGCCAGCTGCCTCTAGTTCCTCAGCTTCACAAAGGGAAAGAAATTCCCTAAAGGAAGTAAATGTCCCCAGTTATTTCATTATTGATACTTAACAGTTAACAGTTGAAAACTTCCTGCATGTTTTTAAAAATTTTTTGGATGTTTATTTTTGAGAAAGAGAAAGAGAGACAGAGCATGAGTGAGGGAGAAGCGGCGGGGGGGAGGGGGGGCGAGAGAGAGAGAGAGAGAGAGAGACAATGAATCCAAAGCAGGCTCCAGGCTCCGAGCTGCTAGCCCCGACATGGGGCTCAAACCCACAAACCATGCGATCATGACCTGAGCTGAAGTCAGATGCTTAACCGACTGAACCACCCAGGCTCCCCTTCCTGGGTGTTGTATGTGGGAGTTGTTTCAGAAGGTTCTATGTGAAGTAATTTATTTCAAAGCAGGACTTCTCTTTCTAGTAAAAATATGATTTGGTCTCTCACCAGTACTTGGTTTAGGAAGGGATGCTCACTCTTATAGGTAGTCGATGTGATACAGTGAGGTTATATCCCTCAGGTCATTCAAATGGAGTCAGGAGGATGTATGTGTCTCTTTCCAGGACCACGAAACCTCCTTCCCCAGGGCGCTCTCAGCTCAGAGACTCTCTCCGCGGTGGTGCTTTCTAGATGGTGAGTGTTTCTGTATTTCTTGGAGTGGTAGGACTGTGGAAGCAGGACAATACACTGACAGATGGAGTGGACGGACCCTGCTTTTCCAAGGGATTATTCAGAAGCCCTTCCCATGGCGCTACAGGATTGCCATTTGCATCTCACATGATGTGGACTTGCTGGTGTTGCCACGCACTTCCCTGAAGTCATTTTTCCCAAAGAAACTTGGTTAGCTTGAGCTGAACTTCGCAGCATCAGATTTCCCTTTCACTGCCCCCCCCCCGCCCCCCCAACCCGGCCCTTTTCCTAAAACATGTTGAGCGCTTATCTCAAATTCAGGCCAGAGGTGGATCCACTACAGAGTGGATAGGTACCAATTCCTCTGTTGTTTGCTTATTGTGGAATTTTCATCTATTTTCATTAGCCATCATTTCATTAAGACGTATACATTTTTTTAAAAAATGTCGAAATTCTCAGTTGCATTCAGATCTGTGCCTCTGAGCATGACCCATTGAATGCATAATATTTTAGTTATTTTCTAATAAGTTAACGGGTGCGTTTTCCATCGCAGGCGTCGCTTACTGCCAAGATGCTGCTTACTCCTCCTTTTGTATCCAGTTACCCGTATAACAGTGCACTCCTGCTTACAGCGTGTCTACTACCCAGAGTCTCTTGTCTATGTGGTTTTCGCTGTAGACATTTCTTCAGTTGATCTGTATATGCATCTGGGAGGATATAAATGTGAAGAGTGTGACAGGATGTGTGAGTGTGTGAACAGTACTAAGAAGATGAGCACTTGTATTCATGTCAGATTGAACCTGTGTGAATCATGACATAAGTTTTCATTAACAGCTTGTCAGCTGCCTCTGGAGATAATTTATACTACTTTTTCTCCAGCTCCTTAATTTCCTTGTGATGAGAAGCATGATCATTTGTTTTTCCTGAATCCACAGAGAAGCAACTTATATTTGAGAAAATTCTGAAAATGTATATGAATTGTCCTATATATAGTCTATTCCATATACATTCTTAGATAAAATTACAAATGCAAGTGATAGTGTTAACCCAGATATTAGTTAAGCTCTATAGATAGAAATCCTCTAAAAAGTAGATCACGTTTATGGTTATAAAGAACAAAGTAGAGTAAGTCCTTCTCAGATAGATTTTACTCCCCTGCTGCTTTGGGGGGGAGCAGGGACCATGATTGTCTCATTTCTTAGCTCATTTCCTTTGGAGAGAAGCTACTCATTAAATATTTATGATTTTTAAATGATTATTTGCATTTTGAGTTATTCCCTCTAGTACTGTGTACTTTGTAGAAAATCTATTTATAATATTTAGAATCTGTTAGATTTAGGTGAGGAGGCACATAATTCTTTTGAGTATTAAGAATAATCAGAATAGTTTCTAGAAGCCCAAAGTTTGCAGTTTTTTCCCCTTCAAACCACAGATGCAGCCCAGTCCCTTTTAGGAATGCTTAAATAATTATTTTTACTGCTTTGGCTTTCTTTAGACCTGGCTTAGGGACTCGGTCTTGAAGTGAAATGAATCCTTTAATGCCAGATGTGGTCCCTGGCTCTCCATCTTCCAGCTTTTTTTTTTTCAAAATGAGAATCATTTCCCTGGGAAGTCTGGCTACCTAACATTTTTTTCCCCCTAACTTCATTTACCTAATAAATCCATACTGAGTCTCAGCTCTGTTTAAGGTCGTGAGCTAATGTCTGAAGACATATAAAAGCCAATGAAATACAGACCTTTCAAGAGGCAGATCTCTCAGAGTTATTTGCGAAGATAGTTTCTGTAAGAAGTGTAAACAAAATGTAAATATGCATAAAGGTAGGAGCAAAGAATTCTGTCTGGGGTCGGGAGGATGGGACTGAGGAATGTTTCACAGAGGAGGCGGCACTTAAGTTGGTCCTTACGAGACAAGATTAGTGGGGGAGATGTAATGGGGAAGGGCTTTCTAAGCAGGGGCATAGCAGTAGAGAGATATAGAAATCCTAAGGTTTTTAAAATAGATTTAGGAACTGGCTGGTGGGCCAGCATGGCTGGAATGTGAAGATTTTGAGTGGCGTAAAGGAGAGAAGGTTGTACATCTGATGCCAGATCACAGGACTCTGAACGCTATATGCATTTCTTTTTTTTCCTAGCAACTTCTGCTGATCGCTTTTACCGAATAGACAGATCTCAGGTAAGCTTTCTTGAGCCTGTTGGTGAAAGCGAAAAATTCCCAAATAAATATACTTTATTGGTGGCTAGTCTTATAATTTTTTCTAATGTAAACACTAAAAGACTTACAAACTCTGGAATGGTACTCATAGACCATGCTATGAGCTTTTTTATTTGTCTTCACACATTTTGTGATTTGTGGACTCCAGATGATGTTGCTTGACCTTGCAGGTGAGTACAGAAACTAACTAGGCTTGCAGGTATTATCACCAGCCTGCACTCCAAATTTTCTCTCACACTGCTACTTTCACTACTTCCTAGCCCAATTTTATGGCTTTTTAAATATGTTTTGGTTACCAAGTTTGACACCTCAAGCGTATATTCATGCTACCTGATTGCAAGTCATCACTTCCCAGAGTTCCATAATGAGAAAAAAAAATGCTTATGCCCAGTGATAAGTGTTCCCACTGTCCAAATTCACCTGAAAAAATAAAAGAAGAAGAAGGACATACGGTATGGAATCTGGTGATAAAATCAGTTGTTAATCTTGCCACTTGGCTTTGGCCAGGTCCTGGGGATCCAAGTCCAGCTTACTGTAAGCTCATACTGGACCAGGCTGCGTGTGTGAGGTGTGGCTTCTTTGATGGTATTTGGGAAGAAGAGGCAAGACTATCTTTGGTTACACCTGACAAGATCCTGGTCAAGTAGGTGCCCCACACCAAGAGGAATTGAACTCCTCCCCTCACCAGTCTCTAGCTACAGTGTTGCTTCAGGGATGGATGTCCACTGACTGGGCCTCTGAAATTACACTGTGCTCTTTGGATATATCGTACACTTTCATTATCCCTCAGGACCAAGAATGCTTTGTTACGTTACTTATCAGATGATCGGCTTGGGCCTCCTGTCAGTCATCTGACAGCCTTCTTTTTCTTCCCTAGGAACATTTGCACTTTGTGATGGAGATTTCCCAAGATGAGATTTTTATTCTGGACCCAGATATGGTATTGTCACAGCAGGCGGGGACGCCTCCTGGAATGCCTGACCTGGTGGTGGAGCAAGCCTCAGGGTGAGTGCGCCTCTTCTTTGGCCACGTGGCAGTGAGGTGAGGCTGGCCACAGGATGGCCTCCATGTCTGACTTGGCTTTGCTCTTCACATTTCTAATGACCTCAAACTATTTTAAAATACAGGTTTTCTTGTAGTGTTTCATTAGGGTGTAGCTGGATCCGTTATATGTCTGTATTATGTACAGATGTGTAGAACTTCTCTTGCCCACCACAGTGTGCACCATGTTTGAGCCTTCTTTACTCACCACATCCACACTTCTTAGCAAACTATGAAGTATTCGTATTCGCATTTGAGCATGTAGATTTATAATGCTTGTATTATGCAAATAAAAATGGACATACAGGTGGTTTGATTATTATTTTTCCCCCCACCACTTCCTCCTTCTGCCATTCTTTGTCTATATCCAAGCAGCCTGAGACATACAGATTGTATAACAATAGCTATGATGTATCAGACACTTATTATAAGCCACATGCTGTCCTCAATGCCTTTCTTATATCCCTACCACCACCTTAGAGTGACCTAATCATCAGGACTCTGTGCTTATTTCCTGATCTGTAAAATGGAAATAAAACCTGCTCATAGAATTGTTCGAAAATTATATGAATTGATACATGTGAAGTATTTAGGGTCATTCATGAAACTTGGTGGACACTCATAAAATATGATGTTACTAAAATGATCATCATCACCATCATGTCACAGTGCCCTGATATCTGGTACTATTATTATCCTAAGTCCACAGACAACAAAAGTAAGACTTAGAGGGTTTTTGTAACTTTGCCAGTATTGCACAGAATATAAAGGGCACACTTGAGATTTGGTCACAGGTTTTATGCTAAAGCGCATGCATTTAATCACAATGTTGAACCATCAAAATATTATTACTATTTCTAGGTTATTTCAGCAATTCCAAAATATTTATTTGTACAGCTCTTTATGTGCTGGGTACTCGCATAAACACTTAGGAAACAACAGTGCAGAAATAAAAATTTGAAAATCTCTGCCCTTGGAAAGTCTAATGAACTTCAACACCTTGCTGGTGCATGGAGGCCAAATTTAAAATAAGGATTTTCCTGGAAAACACACACACATGCACTCAGATAGCATTTGTGTGTGGGTGTATATATATACATATGCACTAATTTATTTGACTGTTAGTTCTGTATCTTCTACTCTGCCAGGGTCAGCTGATATGAGTGGGATGTATCAAGTCAAGAGAAGACGGAAGTGTCAGGAGAGGGCAGGTGTATTGTGGTGTTTAGGAAGTCAGAGCTAGTGATATCAGATAGACATCCCTGGGCATCCCACAAGGTGGGATGAAGCCCATCTTCCCAGTGCATGTGCTGTAAATCCAGCCTGTCAGCTGTGGGGGAAGCACGTGATGAGATGCTGGGTCCTCCTGAAGTAGCAGTTGCCCCTAGAGCCTAGGTGTCCTCCTGTCCATCCATCCTGATCCAGGCTGCCGTCTTCAGTCTGGTAAAGAGTGGGCCGAAGCTGCCATGCCCACCCTGGTCTTTGCCCTCTCAGTCATTTCTCTCAACATCAAGTAGCGGCCAAAAGAAATGGCTTAGTCCTGGGCTTGGCCCTTTCTATTAGCCTTAGCTCCAAAAACAAAGTAGCCTGAACGTCTACCAGGATCGAATCAGTGTTGCCCCTCTGGAAATGAACTTGGACAGGAAAGCCATGAAAGACGATGGGCTTTGTTATTTCCTAATTTGCATTTCCACATCAGGCTCCATTATTTCTCGCTTTACATCATTTAAAATTGCTTATTCTTGAAATGCAATTTTCTCATCTGTAAAGAGGGCGGAAACACACAGAGTAGTTCATGACTGGTTGAGAAAGCTAAGTAATAAATGTGAAGAAGTAACTAGTAAATACCCGATCAAGAGAAATCTCTTATCCTCTGTTTAGAGGGGAATCGTCTTGAGGAAGAGCAGAGCAAATCTAGTGGCTGACTTCGAATGCCTAAATGCCCGGTGCCTTTCTCTCTCGCAGAATGGCAGACTGGTGGAACCCCGCCCTACGGAAACGCATGCTGAGCGACAGCGGGCTGGGAATGATAACTCCACACTATGAAGACTCAGATTTGAGGGACCTGAGCCACTCCCGTGTGCTACAGTAAGGGCTTGCTCTCCTTTCTTTCCCTGTGCACCCCTGTGACTGGTGGGAGGGATTGCAGGTGGTCTCAACAGTGGCAACGCCTCTCTTTTCAAGGGTGCTCCTCCCGTCCGTCCCTTGTGCCGACCTGTGTTTCCACCTTTAGTCACTTTGCTGACTTTTCCCACCCCAGGCTCCTGATTGAGCTTCGCCTCCCATTTCTGTAGCTCCTGAGCCACCCCGAGACCTGGCATGTGTATCTATAAGTACTTTGAACCTCACCGGTGTTTGCCTTACCGCAAGCCGTGTTCACTAGATGGCCCTATGTTTGCCACCTCGTGAAGTCACGCATGAGAGAGATCATGAATCGATTGGAAGTGATGTATACTTTTTTCATTTGTGTGAGCGTTTCCACTTGCTGTTGTAACTCTCTTTGGTTTGTCTCCAGTCCTGAGCCCCTGGAGGTGTGCTCTGTGCAGTAGATCCCCCAGGGCTGCTCAAGGTTGTGGTTTCAGAGTCTCTGGGAAAACAATGTAGCATTTGTTCATAGATGAGGGGCCTGATCACAGTCAGAATGTAGGGTGACTGTTGCGAGTTTTACAACAGTGTTGGCACGTTTATGCCTGGGGAATCTTTCCTCCCTGTCCTCCCTCCTTGAAGGAAGAGATTAACGGCCACAGTATTTCACCCTTCAGGCCAATCACCCCACCTTGGGTTATGCGAGTTTGTTGCACTTCATGGTTAAGCTGGTTTCCAATCCTATCCAAGGCCCTCATTGAACAGGAACCGAGGCCTTGTTCCCCTGCAGTCTTACAAACATTTTTACAAAATAAAGAGAGAATGATTCTTAGGAGCAAGCATAGGAATAACTGAGGAGGGGCTGTTCTGAAAGAAGACCGCAGCCACGTTGGTATGACACAGGGAGAAGAGTGAGAGATCTGGAACCGATTACTTCCGTGGTGAAGGTTCTACTCAGACATACCAGGGGCAAAAGGAGACTTTGTTTTCATTACTCTCTGTACTACCTCTCTTGTGCGAGGAGCAGAAAGGAAGATGTGAATTACTATGGATTTTCCCTTCTAATCAGACCATACAGTTAGGCTGTGATCGCATTTTAATTGCTTACAACCCAGGGTGTTTTTCCATTTCTTTTTTATATGGAATTGAGGCTTATGAACCACAGTGAGTCAGCTGCCCACTGATGGCGACAGACGTGGCCATCTAGCTGTGGGCAGATTTATTTGAAAATTAGAGGTTATTTAGCCAGAGAAATAAAAACTATGCCTCTACAAGCCAGATGAATATTGTAGTTGTTCTTATTTCCAAAAAAGTAGAGTATGAGCTCATTCTGGTTTCCTATTCCCTGATTTTTCTATATGGAGTATTTTAAAGTATGTATCATGGTATGTGAAGTGATTGTTTCTAAGGTAGTAAATATTATTCCCAAATCACAAATAAATGTATCACTTTATATAATAACCAAGGTCTTAAAACCCTGTATAAAAGTCAACTCTTATTCTTTATTTGGGTTATATTATCCTTTCAGAGGTTTCTCTTAATTTTTTATTGATCAACACGTGGCCACCATCATTTGTCCTGGTCATTTATACGACCTTACATCTCCAGTGCACTAGAACAGTTAACTGTTTTAAAAATTTTTTTATGTCAAATCACCTAGAAAGCAAAGTTATATTCAAACACTCACCTCTAGCCTTTGAGTCTGTCTAGCTGAACCTCTAGACATGGGACAGAGATAAGTCATCACTCCTGGGTTCTCTCTGAATTTCTGGCTCATAGAATATAGGAGCATAACAAAACGGTTGTTTCAAATCACTAAAAAAAAAAAAAAAAAAGTAAATACTGTACCCTACTCGATTTTGCCTATACATTCTTTAAAATTTTTGTTATTCTTGTGTCCATTAATTCCTTAGGAAGAACATCTCTTTATTTCCTTTATAGATCATCTCTGATGCAAAGAAGTATAATTGCAGTTATAGAATAATTCAATTATATAATACATAGATCTCATATACCATGTTAGTATAGCTGGTATTGATAGAATGTCTCCTACTTGCTTTGTGCCATAGCTAAATTATCTTTAATTCTTCTTTTTAAAGTTTATTTATTTATTTTGAGAGAGACAGTGTGTGCTGGGGAGGGGCAGAGAGAAGTAGAGAGAGAATCCCAAACAGGCTCCACGCTGTCAGCGCAGACCCCAATGAGGAGCTCTATCTCATGAACCCTGAGATCATGACCTGAGCTGAAATAAGAGTCAGACACTGACTGAGCCACCCTGATGCCCCTATATTTAGTTCTTTTAATGATTTTTACATCTTACCATTGCTTAACCGATAAGTAAACTGAGGCTTATGGAGATTAAAATATTCATCTTGGTGGGGCTCCTGGGTGACTCAGTCCTTTGAGTGTGGAAATAGAATGGAAATTATGGTTAAAGTCAGGTTGGCTTGACTTCTAACTTTATGCTTTTACTGACCATACAATACTATCTTCCCTAAGGGCTGGTGCAAAGGCATTGTGCCCAGAGCCCTGTGGCTGAAGAAAGGTTTATTTTGGTTTCTACATATGCAGATATAGTCTCCCTATATAGAGTTGTTCATTTTATATATTATTATTATTATTTTATTATATATATTTAGCTGAAATTAACCCAGAAGTAAATACAGTTGAGAATGAATTTTAAAGCAGTTTTATTGATTTTATTTATTTAATATAAGGAGATTCTTTAAAAAAATTTTTTAAATGTTTATTTTTGAGAGAAAGAGACAAAGAGAGCACAAGCAGGGGAGGGGCAGACAGAGACAGAAACACAAAATCTGAAGCAGGCTCCAGGCTCTGAGCTGTCAGCACAGAGCCATTTAACATGGGGCTTGAATTTGTGAGCAGTGAGATCCTGACCTGAGCCAAGGTCAAATGCTTGACTGACTGAGCCGCCCAGCCACCCCAGTTTTATTGCTTTTAAAAAGTATTGAAATTTTTTAAAAAGACAGACTTCTATTTAAAAAATAATTAAATATGTATTACATTTGCCTCAATCTAAAATAAATAAGTATAAAAATTATATGAGAAGTACTCATGTGCCAAGCAGCCTGAAATATTACGTTGTTGTGTGTTGTTATTTTCATTCAGTCTTTCAGTCCACAAACAATATACAGTAGCATTAAGACATATATTACTTTATGGACGTTTTTGTTTGTCTTATCTTTTCACTTTTTATTACCTATATTTTATGATGCATACACTTTCACACTGCCATTTCATTCAACATCCTGTTTTTAAAACTTTACTCATATTGATGTATGTGGTTTCTAAGTAACTCTATTTTGTATAGAATATTGCATCATGAATATGCCATAACTACTTCTCCATTTTGATAGTGATTTCTAATATCTTATTGTTTAAACAATGCAGGGAATATCCTGCTGCCTGTGTCCTATGTTGCAGGATGTATGTGTATATGCAGTTTCAACTTGGCTTGATGTTCCCAGGAGGGATATTTTTAAAAAGTATTTAAAAAATAAATAAAAGCCCTGAGGAATTATTGTAATATTTTGGGTACAACTGACATCTGTTGCTTTCAGCTTTGAAGCTCCAGTCAGCTTGGAGCTAGGAAAAGTCCAAATTTAACACCGTGTTCACAATATTAAATAACTCACTATATAAAAAAATCAAAAGGGAAATTTTAAATGCTCAGAACTGAGAACACCATCTATCAAGAGTTTGCAGAAACAACTAAAGCCTTAGTCACAGAATGATTTAATACTCTAAATTCACTTATCAAAGGAAAAATGATTCATACAAATAAAGCATTCAGTTTGATAAACTGGAATAAGAATCCCAGAATAGAAAACAAAGGAAACAACGGGGAAGAATAATAATAAAGACAAAAATCAAGGATAAGGAGAATAAAAAAAGAAATGATTAACCAAGACTAAAATGTTAAAATATTGATTCTTTTGTAAAAAAATTTTTTTTAACATTTATTTATTTTTTGAGAGACAGAGACAGAGCATGAGCGACGGAGGGGCAGAGAGAGGAGTCACAGATTTCAAAGGAGGCTCCAGGCTCTGAGCTGTTAGCACAGAACCCGATCTGGGTCTTGAACTCACAGACCGCGAGACCATGACTTGAGCTCAAGTTGGATGCTTAACTGACTGAGCCACCCAGATGCCCCTAGAATATTGATTCTTTAAAAAGGTAGAGAAGAGACAAAATTCTGAGAAGACTGACTTTAAAAATAATGAATACGGGAAACTGGAAGGAATGTAACTACAGGACTTTCCCAGATCATTCTTCCTCAGGAGCACCCAGTCTGCACCTGCTCAAGGTGACCCTTTCCCCTCCACCCTCCAAATGACCCAACTCCCTGGGGTCCCCTTAGAGTTGTCCCATAGCTTTAACATTGGTTTCTAAGATCCATCAACCTCCCTCCTACTTCAGGGAGAGTGAGATGGAATGGACAAATACAATGAACTAGATTTTTATTATTACTGGAACTGGTTACGTTTATATTATAATTCCATTTAAAAACACCTTATTAATTTGTAAAGGTGTGTATGTGTGTGTGTAGTTCACTTTACACAAGTCCCTTAGGAGAGACTATCAATCCAAAGAAGTATGTACAACAGCACATACAGGGTCTTCAAAACCTATGAACATAGTGAAAAACAATCTTTAAGAACCAATTTTGAGATAAAATGGTGAGAGGTGGTTTACCCACATTATTATTTCTTGAACCGTAATGAATTTGTTTTAAAGTTCAAAGTGTTTTTAGTGTCTAAGAAATTTCTACTTAAAACAACCTGATTTGCTCTCATCATTAATTATACCACCACAGTTAGTGACAAGGCTATTTTCATTTTGGCCAAAGATTTGTAAGGAAGGAATTAACTGAAATTTTAGCAAACAATCTCAGTCCTAAGGAACACTTTTCCCAACTTCAGGATCTAGGAGACTTAAAAAAAAAAAAAAAAAACACTGAAGGAAAACTCTAGTATTTTCTC